TCGGGCAGCGTATCTTTAAAAGAAAAAGTGGGCCCCTTGTTGGACTTTTCCACCCCTGTAGGAAGTAAAAACCCCCCAAGCGGACGGCCCTTTCACTCTCAAAGATTCCTAAAGCCTGCCAAAGGGCTTGCCCTCCCGTCTGTGGATGGAGGGGAAATCATTCGTGGGGCTGGAGGAATGGAGCTCAAATCTTCAGGATTTGAACTCCATTCCTGCACACCACCAAGAGGTTTCCCTCCATCTCCTCCACTTGCAATCTCCCCTGCATTGATTTTCTGGGGAAGCCAGAAGAGAAGATGGCAAATGGCAATCACATGATCGCAGGGTGCTTGGCAACTGGTCATAAATGTGAGCTGGTCATCAAGCACCCAAAATGTGGCCATGTGATTGGGAGGGGGAACGTTTTACAACAGCCAGAAGTGCTTTACAGGCTGTAAAGCACCCTTTCTGAGACTGTCATAACTTTGAACCATCATTAAGTGGTCCTTAAGCGAGGACTACCTGTGAAGAAGAGAGCATCTAGAAACATATTATATTTTTGATACTGTGATACCTTCCTGGCATAAAGGGCACCTGGTAAGAGGCTGGTTATACCTTACAAAGACTGAGAAGAATGTATTTAGAAGAAATCTTACAAATAAATGTGAACCAGAGGGCTCTAATGAAATCCTCTGGAGGAAAAAGAAGACAGCCAGGATATAGTGTGACACTATATTGCTAGGAGTATACAGGATATGGAGGCATCAAAAAATGAGCATATAAATAAAAGAGAGAGTAGGTCAACTTATGTGACCCCGAGATTCTAGGCTCTCTACACAAATTCACAGATTGTGGGGAACCAACAACCTAGAAGAACAAGAAGTCTTAATTCAGAAAGGTCAATATGATTTAACAGACTTTACTGAAACCTGGTGGAGCAAAATTCAAAAGGAGTAGGCCAGACAACAGTGTCAGGGTTGGGGAGGAGGAATTGGTGGCTTTATATGTGAAGAAACATTCAGGAATCTGAGCAGAGGGACCAGTCAAGAATATTTGGGTACAAATACAAGGAAAGGGAAACCATGAAAACATTATTGTAGGGGGTTACTATAGATCACCAAGCCAGGAAGAAGATCCAGATGAAGCTCTCATGGATCAGATTACAGAACTTTGAGGGAGGAGGAAGGTATTAATCAAGGGAGACTTCAGTTAACCAGACATCTGTTGGAAAATGAATTCTGCCAAACCAGCAAAGTCACAAAACATCTTCACTGGTCTTGCTGACTTTAATTTTTCAGAAGGTTGATGAAGAAATGAGGGGATTTGTTCTCTTAGATCTGATCCCAACCAACAGGGAAGAGCAGGTTGAAGAGGTAAAACTAGTGTGAACACTTGGAGGAAGTAACCATGTCATCTTGGAATTCATGATACTGTAAAAAACATAGGAGCATAGTCCTGCATGTACTTTAGATTTTAGGACAGCTATTTTCAAGAAGAGATACAGCAGATGGATGAATGGACGGACAGACAAACAGACATAAAAAAAATGGAAGATGAGTGTAATCTCCAAGGAAGTATATGAGCAAGTAGCAAATATCTACAAAAGAAAAAAAAGAAGAGAGAGGGAGGGGCCTAAAAGGAACTGAGGTTTGCAAGGAAAGTTAAAAGAAACAAAAATAACTTTTTGGTTATATCAATAGTAAAAGGACACATAGCTATAGGAATATGGTAGGATATTAACAAGTGATTACTTTGCTTCGGTCTTCTCTTCAAAGGGAAACTGTGTTCAAATAGGCCCAAGGAGAACAAACAATAAAAGGAGGGAATATCAATCTAAAGTATGTCGAGAGATTACTATAGACCACCTGGCTACCATTAAGGAGTTTAAATCTCCAGCACCATAATTACATCCAAGAATCTTGAAGGAGCTTTCAGATATCATCTTTGAGCTATCTTCTGTAATCTGAGAAATCCTGGAGAACAGGCATAATGCCAGAGGATTGGAAAAAGATCAATGTTCCTATCTTCAAAGGGGGAAAAAAGAGAATCCAGGTAATTACAGATCAGATAGTCTGATGGTGACACTGGATGAAGCTCTGAAACAGATGACTAAGCAGCCAGTTTATGAGCATTTAGGAAAAAATGCACTGTTTGGTGGGAGCCTGCATGGGTTTATCAAGAATAAGTTATGACAAACCAACCTGATTTCTTTTTTGGATAGAGTAACCAGTTTAGGTGACCAAGGGAATGCAGTGAGCAAAGCATACCTTGACTTGAGCAAAGCATTCCACAGAGTATTCCATGACATTTTAATAGAAAGGATATCAAAATGTGGACTGAACTAGATTACCATTAAATGGATATAGAGTTGATTGAACCATTGTACCCAACAAGTACACATCAATGGATCCACATCAGGCTGGAAGGAAATATCAAATGATGTACCACAATGATCCATTCTAAGTCTTGTTCTGTTCAATGTATTTATGAAAGACGGGGATACAGTGTGAGAAAATATGATTATCAAGTTTGTAGAGAATATAAAGATGCGAGAACAGCAAATACCTCACAGAATAGTATCAATGTTTGGAAGGACCTTGACAAACAGAAACAATGGGCAGGAACCAAAAGATGTTTTTCAGCAGGAACAAATATAAAGTCCTACATTTGGGTAGGATAAATCAAAGTATGTACTGAATTACAGTCAATGATGAAAACCATTACAGTGTAAAAATAAACATAAAGGAGTACTAACAATTAAAACAGAATGATTAATACACTATATAATAATACTAAACAAACAGCAATATAAACTCCAGATTAATAATTCCAGTATTAGACCCGTATCCTTACAGCAGTTGCTCCTGAGTGGAATTTAGCAGCTTTATGATTATTTCAGAATAAAGGTCCACTAGCAGAAAGCATGTGTATTCCTCATCTGGCTGATCTGAGCAGTTAACCAGCAGAAATATCTTTAGAACAGTGCATTATTTGGTTAAGTATTGTTAATTATTATACCAATCTATATTTTAATTGTTACTATTCCTTTAGGTATTTTTTAACCTTGTAATGTTTTGTCTTTGACTACAAATAGTAGTAGTTTCCTGCAATAGGCAGGGATCTCAACAAGATGATCTCCAAGGTTCTTTTCAAAACATATTCTATTCTGTAATGTTCCAGAGATGACAAGTTATTTCTCATCTGCTTTAATGGCATAGTACACAGACTCACAGAATATTCGGCATTTTGTCCATGAACAGGAATGTTCATAAAAATACTTCATGTCCACCGGACAGTGTTCCACATTTCTGAAAAAAACTTATTTCTAAAATGGAAAACTTTCTTGTCTTCAAATACAGAACCAATATTTTTATAGTATAAGCTATATGAAATATTTATCTTAGATAATTTGTGAATATTGCAATCATATACTAAGTAAATCATTACTGGACATTTCTTTAGCAACTTACCCAGCTGACTATCAAAAAGGCAGCATAATACGATGTCATCAACATAGAGTTTCCAAACATAAAGACAAAACATACAGCAAGTGACACCTGAGGTGACATAAATAAATGAAGATATGTTAATGCAGTGATTAAGATTACAGAGGCATGACAGAAATGTAGAACATCTACACTACAGTTTATTAGAAGTAATAACATAAGATGCTATCTTGTGATAGCTTTATTTCCTTTTGTACCATCTACTTTAAATAATATATCACTGGACAAAAGATACACAAATCTAAACTATTTTTGTAAAAAAAATTAAGATTACTTCTATTTTTATATCATGATATTTCAGATTTTAATTTATAAAGGAATTAACAACCATATTTGTTCATTTAAAAAACAAATGAACATCTTCCAACTGGATGGCAAGCACTTAAAAGGGAATGATGGGGAGACAGGAAAAAAAATGAGCATAAAGGTAGTCCTCATTGAACGACTACTTGTTCAGTGACCATTCGAAGTTACAACAGCACTGAACAAGGGGGACATGATGGGTCCTCATAGTTCCACTGTTGCAGCATCCCCATGGTCATGCAATCACTATTCAGGCGCTTGGCAACCAGCTTGCAATTACAACATTGCAGTGTCTTGCATGGTCACATGATTGCCATTTGCAACCTTCACTGCTGGCTTCAGACAAGCAAAGTCAGTGGGGAATCTGGCAGGAGATCACAAATTGTGATCACATGACTGCGGGACACTGTGACTACATGGGATTTGCCTAACAACAGCAACTGGGACTGCCACAACTGCCATCATAATTCAGTGTGGTCACAGGATGTTGCACTTTTCAACCACGCCCCTTAGCAATGGAGTTGCTGGTCCCAATTACCATTGTTAAGCAAGGAGTACCTGTAATGAAAAAGCCCATAAAAAGCCTCTTGAGATGTTGGGAGAAGATGGCAACATGATATCAGTTGGGTGGTGAATAGAATGGAATAACCCCAAATTTTAACCACCATTAAAGATCTGCTCAAATGGAGCACAAAAGATGTTATGCCAAATTGTGTTCTATCCTAAAACAGTTACTGTAATTCTGTAGCCTGAAGTCTTTTCTTAGTTAGATTTTCCCTTCTTTCTGCCCCTGCTTTTTGAAAACATACATAGAGTTTGTTTTTGGTTTTTTTTGTTTTCTTTTCCTTTCAAAGTGAACTTTAGTGTTCCATCATATTGAGTCATACACACTCAGTCATCAAGTTTGTGCACTATCCTGAACTACACAAAGAATTGTCAGCACGAACTTGGGCCTATGTATGTGAATGTATATGAACACATGTATTTATATGTATAAATAGATAATACAATTTGGCCTACTTCTGTGTACAGTGAGGCAGGACACAAGAATAATTTTCTTGTGCAATTCCTTCAGTTTTATTATTCTGAATTTCTCTTAAATTATACAGCTGAAAACAAAAGCATCTCATATTTTGTCTTTCTCATCATCTTGGTTGGAGGGCTCCATTTACTGGCCAGTAGCAACTCAAGATATTGCTTCTTTTTGCCCAAAGGAAAATGTAGATTCAGCTGGCATTTGCCATGACAACCCATCAATCAGCCAGGGTAGAATAAGTCATCAGGTTTACAGCTCTAGGTTTGTATTATATTGTATACACTACTTTGATTACTGTTTTCAGCCGTTTTGGACAGACCAGATCAAGACACAGACTCCACAGGAAGTCTAGAACTATACCTTGTTGAGATAGGCTACAACAACATCTTGCAAGCCTAAGTGAGCTTTACCTCCCCTCCCTCTTATATCCCATCAGGGAGGAGCCTGCCTGAGTCTCTTCTGAATATTATCTTGCTTCCCAGGGTTTAAGGAATGCTTCAGCCCTCTTTTATTATGTAACAGTTCTTGCATATTTCTGTCAAGATCATCTCTCTTCTACTCTACATTGTTTGATCAAAAAGTTAGATAAAATTCTCTAATGAATAAAAAAGCAACCCAATATTCATTACACAATAATCAAAACTACAAACATTCAGAAACTGGTTTTACCAATAAATATTGTTAAAAATGGAAATGAAATATTACCATATGTGCATAAAGTATCTTCTGTAGTTTGGCTGAATCAATGAATCCTAATATATATATACCAAAAACAGATGCCACCTGCAATTGGAAAAAATAAAGTAACTGAAAGTACATTTTACCTAAAATATTTTAAAGAAAAGTATCAAGGCTTCAAACCACTCATTTTGTAAAAATGAAAAGAGCGGATGGAAAGAGAAAAGGGACTTTAAACAGCTTTTATCATATAGCCTATAATCAGCAGATTTGGTTGTGGCAATTGTATTATAAATAATCACAATTCAATTGCCTAATTCCATGAAATATAGGTACTTTACAGTATCTTATTTTTCCACCAGTTTTTTCCAACCTTGGGCCTTTCCAAATATGTGGACTCCTACTCTCAGAATTCTCAGCAATGGACATACATGAGGAAATTCTAGGATCTAAAAGGGCTGTCTCAGAGCAATATTTACAGAGCTGTATTCTATAAGTTAGACAACTCACAGCTTTCATTCTGTATATTTTCATTGCCACCAGGACATGATTGCTGCCATTTCATCATGCAAAACAGAAAATGGTATTGGTGAAGTTTTTTGGCTTTCATGGATGCTGTCCTTTTCTGATCTTTCTAGCTGTTAAGACCTCCAAAAAACCCTGGCATATTTAAATGATTTGAGCTGCTCCATACTCCATATAAATTCTTCCAAGAGTGGTGAAATGGAAGAGCATTTCTACAGAGCACAAGAATTTTAGTTTTGTCATAGCTGATGTCAAGACCATTTTGTCTATAGTATGGGACAAGACCTCCTAACTACTAAAGATGTAGAAAGAAGGGATATATCATCTGCACACAAGAGAATTGAGACATATCTATTAACTGACGAGTGTGGGTGGAATTCCAGCCTTGACAGGGTTTGCACCCATATATTTAAATAAAAGTTGAAAAAGATGGGGGCAATATATAGCTGTGATTTACCCCATACTGAATGGCTATAGTATTGGAGTAATGAGAACAAGAGATTCTTAATACAGGCTATTTGGAAGGAGATAATGAGAAAAGGGGAAGAATTAAAGAAATCGCCAGCAACGACAAGTATTTCATATCAAATTAAACTTCTATAGCAACAGCTATCTACGTTAACAGTAAGAGAAATGGAAACTAAAATGAACTATGCTAAACAAAAGAACTTTGAATTTGCAAATAAATCAGGGAAATGGTTAGCTTATAAATTAAGGAAGAAGAAAGAAAAAAAGATGATTTGGAGCTTCAAGAGGGAGATACAGTTTAAACAGACAATGTGGCTATACAAAAAGCTTTTCATCAGTATTGTTCTAATTTGTATAAAGGACAGGATGCTTCTCTGGAAAAAAAATAAATGACTATCTAAATGTGCAAAATTTACAACAGTTTACAGATATACAAAGACAGACTATGAATGGGCCTGTAACAATAATGGAAGTTTCAGAAGCCATAAAAAAGATTACGCCGGGAAAAGCACCTGGGCCAGATGGATTACCAGAGTCTTATTATAAATGTTTAAGGATGAAACTTTATAATCTCTTTAGAATACAATGAATTTTATTTTACAAGGAGATGGGATGCCAGAGTCTTGGGAAAGAAGCTAATATTGCACTAAAACCTAAAGAGGGGCAAGATTTAAACTTAACCAAAAATTACAGACCAATATCATTACTGAATAGTGATTATAAATTATTTACAACAATTTTGGCAAATAGACTGAAATAGTTTTATAAAACTTCATTCATGAAGACCAATGTGGATTTTTACCTAAAAGACAACTAAAAGATAAAGCTAGAACAGTATTGGACATTATAGAATATTTGGAACAGCATAATGAAAAACAGCCTCATTAATTTTTTTGGATGCAGAGAAACCTTTTGACAACCTTAACTGGCCCTTTTTGTTTAAAGTTCTAGAAGATATGGATTTTGGAGAAAACTTTATAAAATGGGTTAAATTGATATATGCACTACAGAAAGCACAAAATATTGTTAATGAAGATTTAACAAAACCATGTGAGATTCAAAAAGGAACAAGACAAGGATGTCCATTATCTCCACTTTTGTTTATATTGGTTTTGGAAGTTTTGAACAGAGACATAAGACAAGATGAGGGGATAATGGGTGCAAAAATTAAAAAAGAGACATACATGCTTTGGCAGATGATCTGGTGTTGGTGTTGGAAGAGCCAGTGAAAGGTATAGAACTATTAATGAGAAAATTAAAAGAGTTTGGTGCACTAGCTGGTTTTAAGATTAATAAACAAAAGACAAGACGTTAACAAAAAATATGAAGATACAAGATCAAATAGAATCGATGAACAAAACAAGTTTCAAGATCGAAAAAAAATTAAAATACTTGCGTGTTAATTTGACAAATAAGGATTGCATGTTGTTTCAGAATAATTATGTTAAGAATGGAGTTAAAAAAGACATGTTAAGATGGGAGAAATTACAACTGTCATTGTTGGGAAGAATTTCTGTGATAAAAATGAATGTTTTGCCTAGGATGTTATTTTTGTTTCAGACAATACCAATTTTGACTACTGATTTACCATTTAAACAATGATAGAAAGATATATGTAAATTTCTGTGGCAAGGCAAAAAACTGCAAATTTCTGTGATAAAAATGAATGTTTTGCCTAGGATGTTATTTTTGTTTCAGACAATACCAATTTTGACTACTGATTTACCATTTAAACAATGATAGAAAGATATATGTAAATTTCTGTGGCAAGGCAAAAAACTGCAAGTTAAATACAAGGTGTTGCAAGATTCCAAAGAAAGAGGAGGTTTAGCTTTACCTGATCTGAAACTGTACTTGCAGCTTGCTATTTAGTCTGGATGAAAGAGTGGGTGATGCTGAGAAACAGGTTATTGGACATGGAAGGGCATGATTTGAGATTTGGGTGGCACGGCTATTTATGGTATGACAAAGTTAAGGTTAATGTAGATTTCAAAGACCATTTTATTAGACGTGCCATTTTGAGAATTTGGAATACATATAAATCTAGACTGTGTCTGAAAACACCTTTATGGCTGGATAAAGGAAGCATATTATGGAACAGAAATGGCAACTAAGCAGAAATTGCTAACTTACAGTGACATTCTAGAGTTTTGCCAGGGAGAATTTAAAATAAAATCAAGAGAAGACTTGGAATCAGAAGGATATATGTGTCAATGGTTTTCACATGTACAATTAGTAGAAAGATTTAAAGTTGATAAACGGACATATGGTTTTGAATGTGATAAAACTGTATTTCAAATTGAGTTTGAATTTGAAATACAACTAATGATGAACATGAATCAGAAGGATATATGTGTCAATGGTTTTCACATGTACAATTAGTAGAAAGATTTAAAGTTGATAAACGGACATATGGTTTTGAATGTGATAAAACTGTATTTCAAATTGAGTTTGAATTTGAAATACAACTAATGATGAACATCTTATTGCTAAAATGTATAAACTTTTGTTGAGATTTGAAACAGAAG